GCGATCGTCGGGCCCAAAAACGGGCCGAGCCGGCGGATTTCGACGTCTTGGGGCCGCGACTGTGGGTTTTTTCGGCGCCGGCGCGAAAAAGGCGCCCTGGGGGCTGTTGGGGCGCGGCTAGAGATGCGTCCACGTTGGTTGTTTTTGCACTAGCACGGTATTAAAGCAGTAGTGGTTCTTCGTGGACGGGTCCGCTTGCATATATGTTAGTAACGTGCACTTGCAAATATTTACCAAAACATATGACCATTTGTGAAAAATATAAGGTTAGAAATGAATAGTGCTCGAATTAGGGTTGCATACACATGATATAAATTTATTCTTTGTATAAGTCACAAGATGTCATATTTTGTTGCGACTTTTTGTATGGTAGACACACATGATATATCATAATTAATATCTATGAACCATTTCGCTTATTTGGAAATCAGCAAAAAAAAGGATAAAAGAGAATATGAGTTGCATGAGAAACTGGCTTGACAAAATCCTCTTTGTTTGGAGATAATATTTTTTTCTGAGTTGAGAGTGGAGTTTTTTGGTGCGTTGTTGTGATGTGATTGCATTATCGTATTAGTTGATATAACGCTTGGGAGCTTTTATTCCATGCTGAAACCATAGAATTTTTGGTATAACACTTACATGAGCTGGTCCATGAAGCTCTTGCCCGCTCAGCTTCGCTCCCTACTAAGCCCTACTCACTTATCTTTTTCTTTGCTTGCTTCGCTGCTAACTTAGGAAAAACCGACTATCATATTTTTTTTATTTCAAAATGTTCACCAAATTTGAAAATATTGTGAATTAAAAAGAATCATGAATTTTAAAAATACTTTTTCAATTCCAAACGATGTTAATGGATTTGAAAAAGGTTTGCAAACTTAAAAAAGTTCATCAACTTAATAAATTCATGAACTTTAAAAACATTTAGGATTTTTAAAAAATGTTCATGAATTTAAAAATACACACGTATTTTTAAAATGCTCAAAACTTTAAATAAATATTCATGAATTATAACATGAAAAATAAAAATGCAAATAAAAAGAGAATAAATAAAAAAGAAATAAAGGAAAACCCCAACAGACAACTATTAAAACTGCTAAAACATAGGAAAAAGAAAGAAAAAACTAGGGAATACCTTCTCAAAACCGGGAAATAGTTGTGCATTACTCTCAACCAACAATGCACACCCTTGAAGACGGGCCCTAGCAA